GTATTCATAACCAAAATGAACATTTTGATATAATCCTACTTTTACATACTTAATTTATACGTAGTAACTTACATCATTTGATCCTTGCAGAAACCTCTATTAAATAAGGCCAATGTAATATCATTTTATACATTTAAAACTAATATTCTGAAGATTGTAGTGATTCAACCAGGATCACGAGACAAGTGAATTGTAGATTCATGACTATAGGCAGTGTTCTTAAAATTGTTCTTACATCTTCCCACTTTAACAACCAGATACAGGAACAATGCTAGGTAATGCTTCTTACATAATTATTTGGTGACTACACCTACAACCTCCAGTTAATAAGATCACATATGTCTGATTTATAGAGAGATAAATGAAGAAAAGAGAAAAATGATTTTTCTAATTTGGAATAAAACAGAACATAGAGGTAGATTTCATACATCAATTTCATCACTCTAGAAAATGTTTCCCAAAATGATACCACTACAAAATATAAGCATAATTTTCTGAAATTGTAAACTCATTATTTCAAGTACTTTAAAAAGCTAGCATTTCTATAATTCCCTAAACACATTCTCTTTAACCTTTCAAATGTATTTCAGCATGAGATGATTTAAAAGCAAGTAGGAATAAATTTCACCTATAGGAATCCACTTAGCATTTGGTTGAGTGCTTTTTCATAGCATAGATTAAAAAAAATCAATATGCAGCCCCAAATTTAACTTAAAATTATAATTTCATTACTTGCAAATGAAATACTAAAAACTGTGATTACCTGTAACAGTTAATTCAGTAGTTCTTCTCACAACAAAGCCTCCATATTTTAATTCACAGGTATAATTTCCAATGTCATCTTCTCTGACTTCTCTTATAAGCAAGGTATCTCTTTTGAATACAATACTTGGCCTCCATATTTTTGTCCTACATTCCTACATAAAGAACATAAACTTTGGGTAGTACATGTAGTATTGAAAAACAAGGTTCTTTAAATCACTATAATGGTAATTTCTAAACTTATAATTTTAAGTGACAAAAGTTTTTGAAATTAATGTTAAATAATTTCATTCTGTTTTTAAAGCTCTGGGAAATCAGGTACCTCAATTTGAAAACAGTATTTTTAGAAAGAGGCATGTTAGTAAGTTTAGCATCTCTACATTAGATATGTACTTATTTATTAATTATGAGAAAAGACATATATGTTCATTATTCCTAACTTAAATTAAAAAGCAAATTCTTAACATTTGATGTTTATGAAATTAATCATACTGATATTAATAAGAGAAAACACAAAGTCTATTATTTAATGAAAAGTAGAAAATTTTAAATTATAAAATAGTTTAAATATATGAATGTACAAATATTTGAAATGATGTTTAATTTAGTAAAAATAAAATCTCTTCATAGCATGTATATTCTATAATCCATTAGAGATATAGCCAACATTTTATGCCAGGGTCTTATACTCTCATAAATATCTATTTTCCTTTTTGATAGACCTACCAAATTATGGTTTCTGAATTAAGCTTTGGATTATAATGACATTGGCTCAGGAGATTTCTGTTTTTGCCAAAACAAAAGTCCATATCCCCCAGCCAGATTTGAAATCAATGGAATGAGGATAAAAAAATTGAAAAGCTTAACACCTTTGACGCTATTGAAAGAAAATACTATTTGTAAAAAATTTTATTGCCAGATCAAATTTTTGCATGTTATGATTTTATGTGGCTCAATGCTTCTGTCTACTTGTGAGGGGCAATTATCCAGCTATTTTATATCAAAATATACATTCTATTGTTCACATTAGTTATATAAGTTGTCAAAACTGCATAAATCCTGTGCTGAATTATGAAATCTATATTTAGCCAGAATAATTATTTCATAGTATTCTACTTTGGCATTCATCTTTCAATCTCAGCTATTTAGACTACAGATGTCAAGTCCTAATAATGGAAATATAATCTGAAATATAAGACTTTTAATTTCTACATAAATGTATCTCTACCAATGACTATGGTCTTTATAGCTTGAGGTCAAAATGATTGTGGTGATGGTGGAAACACGACTAAAGCACCAATATGAACCCAGTTATTTTTAAATCAAATGTGTGTCAGTGTATATAGCCTCTCATCTTTCAGCAAAATTTGAGGTGCTCTTTACAGAAGGTGATGAAAGATATAGAACTTGTAAAATCAATTTATTAGTTATGTATCTAGCAGCTGAATGACTACAAAGACATAGGATTAGAACAATATTTGGTTTGAGAGAACTTGGGTCTAATTTCTCTACTACTACTTCCCTTGTAGCAATCATCAGGACTTGTTCACAATTTGCCTTTTGAAGGCATGAAAACTTCTAAGTATCAAGAATTAGAAATACTCAAATATAAAAATGAAAAAAAAAGAAATTAAAAAAACACATTCCCAAGGAACAGAAATCAGTGTTGCTAATTTTGAGTGCTGTTTAACATCTCTAGGAATAGAAAACAAAGGGACAAATTGAAAAAATTTTCAACTGTTCCCTTGATCTTCTGAGTTCTCCATTGCCCATTATAAAGAATCAAAATTAAATCTTACTCAGAGAAGAGCATTGCTAATTTTGGCAAAATCCTTTTGAAATTGTTCAAGGGTTTTTTTCTTGCTTTATTTTTAACAGATTTTGAATTCATGAGCAATCAGTTATGAGGGCTCCTATTCTGAGACTGACATTTGTGGATCTAGTTATTAAGAGGCCCAGTTTCCTCAAGTCCAACTTCTAGCAAGTTAGACAAAGTAAATTTAACATGAGGAATCTTTAATACACAGATAATAGATTCCATAAAAGTGTTCACATCAATATTCTATTTGTTTAGTACATCCAAAGCAAAAAATATTCTTACATGGCATACATAAGCTTAAAAGTGTAATAAATTATGGAGTTTCAATGAATATTATTGATGTGATATGGAAAAAGGGGATTGGACTATATTGTCTTTAATTTTAAAGTTTCTTTTTGTTTTTAAAGAAAATAAGTTTAATACTATTTTCATAATGGTACAAAATGTTCTCAGATGTTATTTCTTTTAAATATGTAGGCTTATATATACATTTAGATTAGATTAGAATTTGGACAATGTTATATTCATTAAATAGGAAATCCAATTAAAATTACTATATAATATTATCACAGAAGTAAATCAATTATTTTTCTCCTAGTTTGGGGATATTTTATAATGCTAATATGAAGAGCTATTAAATCAATATTCAACATATTTTAATTCCTGAAATTATCAACCTATACTATAATAGAATTGAAAGAATTATCCCTAAATAAGATATAAAAATAGCAACTTATTATAATAGAATACCAATACAAATGTTAACCAATATGCTATTTATTAAAGTCACAGTTTTAAAATGACCAACACAAATTGCTGTAGCATTCTAGGAAAACAGAACTGAACTATATCATAATGCCTACTTAATTTTTATCAATTTTACCCAGAATAAGATACACATGAAATTGTTTATAGGCAATAAATTCATTCACAATCCATACCTTATACCAAAGGATTTCAGGTTCTCTGGTTGGTAGCAAAAAATCCTCTATGTCACGGCATGAGATTTCCTTGCTTTTGCTAAGTTCAGCTTTTTCAAAGTATTTCATTTTGGAATTATAGCAGAGTCCAGTGTCATTTTCACCCACTGTCAGTGAGATGGATACTTTCATACAGTAAGTGGAGTTTCTGTAACAAACAGAATAAATATGGTGACCCACTGTGAACAAAAATCAAGTGCTGCCAACACAGAGTGTTTAAATCACTCAGGAAAAAAAAAAGAAGGAGAAAGTCCATTGTTTAACTCATTTTATTTTTTCTTGGCATATTCTTTAGGGTTCCCTCTTGTCATGTAACTAAACAACAATTGGTCCTGTAATGCTAACTGTATATTTTATATTTGCTAGGAAAAAAAAAAGTTTTGTTTTATATCCAGGTTCAGTATGAAAAGTGTTTAATGGAGATTTTTTTCTAGAAAATAAAAGGAATAAAGGAAGATTTAGTTCAAGAAGAAAGTCAAGCTTTGGGTTTTGCTAAAATTGGCAAACTCAACAGAGAAGTAGAAAACAGACCTATTTTTTTAATATTTATTTTTTAGTTGTAGTTGGGCACAATAATTTTATTTTATTTATTTATTTTTTTGTGGTGCTGAGGATGTAACCCAGGGCCTCACATATGCTAGGTGAGTGCTGTACCACTGAGCCACAACCCCAGCACTGAAAACAGACCTATTAAGTACAATGAAAGGGCAGGATTAATGCTGCTCAAGACTTGCATTACTGGTTGTCTTACTAGTAAGAAATGTTATTGAGTCTGGGCAGAAAATATTCTAAAATATTAACCAGGCATGGTGGTGCACATCTGTAATGTCAGGTACTCAGGAGGCTGAGGTAAGAGGATTGCAAGTTGGAGGCTATCCTGAGCAACTTGGTGAGAACCCACCTCAAAATAAAAATTAAAATGTGTTTTAAATCTGGGGAATGTGTCTAAGTGGTGGAGTGCTTGTTTGGCATGCCCAAGACCCTGGGTTCAATCCCCAGCATCAAAATAAAAAGAAAATGTGTTTGAGATGTAGGTCCTTGGTAGAGCACCCTCAGTTCAATCCCTAGTATACTTCCCAAAACAAATGTAAGGGCCAGGATTGGTAGCCCACAACTGTAATCCCAGCAGCTCCAGAGGCTGAGGCAGGAGGATTTTGAGTTCAAAGCCAGCCTCAGCAAAAGCGAGGTGCTAAGTGACTCAGTGAGACTCTGTCTCTAAATAAAATACAAAATAGGGCTGGGGATAGGGCTCAGTGCTTTAGTGCCCCCCCAAAAAAATAGTATTGTGAAATCATAATCTTTCCCCATCCATATATATTTGGCTTGAGACTTGGAGTTCAGGTTGTCAGAGAGAAGCATTCTAAAGTATTGTAAGAACAACTCTTTGCTCATAGACATATTCTACACAATTGGGTCATTAATTCAGGACCTCATTTTTTTTCTTTCCTGGCTCCAAAGTCAAGATTATAACTTGGATAAGTGAGAATAGAAATAATTTTTTTGAAGAATTAGGAGTTAATGAGTGAAATTTATGTGTAAATTGCAGTACTTATGCTTGCTATGTAAGTCTGTGGCCATTCAATGAACACTGATAATGTTTTATGCATGATGCTGGACAATGGAAATAAATAAACATCAGGTATAATGTTTGGTAGAGAACTTTTCATTTGGTAAGAGTCCAACTGCTAATTTATGTAATTGGCCATCAAATTTCTGTTATTTGAGTTTTGTTTGTTGCTTATTATCTCTGGAAAAGTGGGCAATTTATTTAACTCCTCTGAGCCTGGGGTGGGGTGAAGGACAGTACTTATTTGAGTATTACACAGGGTATTAACAGAACCCTGTAAATCCTGTCATAGGTACTCAGTGATGGTGGTTCCTTTTTCCTCCACATCTGTGTAAATGGGCCTCTTCCTTATGAAGTCAAGATTCTCTGATATTTAAGCAGCTCCTTGATTTAGATCCTTGCTTTGCTTAAATGCTAATAATGCTAAATAAATATGAGAATGACCAGAAAATAAATTAGTTATTTAGTGTTAGAGTAACAAAGAATATTTAGAAAAATTAGACGATTCTTTTTGAATGTACACATCTCCATCTTTCTATACTTTCTGGCATACAAGTAGATCTCAAGTATTTAAGAGGTAAAACAATTAACCATTAAAGAATATCATTCAGAAGTCCAAAAAGAGTCCTGAGAGTTTAGGGACTTTTCAAGAATGAGAAGATGTTTCCTATCCTCAACCCTTCAAAATTCAAGAAAAAATATAATATATAAGAAAACAATTTAGGGGCTGGGGATGTGGCTCAAGTGGTAGCTCGCTCGCCGGGCATGCATGCAGCCCGGGTTCGATCCTCAGCATCACATACAAAGATGTTGTGTCCGCCGATAACTAAAAAAAAAAAATAATTAATATTAAAAATTCTCTCTCTCTCTCTCTCTCCTTCTCTCTCTCTCTCTCTCTCTCTCTCTCTCTCTCTCTCTCTCTCTTAAAAAAAGAAAGAAAACAATTGAAAAATTTGATGTGATATATACTACAAAACATATATACTACCAAAGTGGTTTCAAGGAAACAAACAATAAGACTTCATAAATGGTGATACTTGTATTGTCTTAAACAATGAGTAAGAATTTAGCAATTTTGAGAAGGGCCATTTCAGGCAATAGTATATTTAGATGCTGGAAGGTATAGAACAACTGGATATGTTTAAGGAATTGCAAATAACGTGATATGGCTGGAATATAAAGTAGTTACAAAAGACCTGAGACTGGAAGAGTGCACAAGAGCAAGACTGAAAATCATGTAAACTGCTTCAAAGAGTTTGGACTTTATATTTGGAAATGATGAAATATGGATATTGAAAACTATTTACAAATAATGAGAAAAAATAGATTGAATTGGAAGGAAGACTAAATGCAGTAAGGCCAATTGGAAAGCAATAAACTCATTTAGGAAAAAAATGACAACCCTCAAAAAAGGTAATTTGTGTTGGGGTAGGAAGGGTCATGTTCAAAATATATTTAAGATGTTAAATCAATACAACTGAGAGGAAACAGAAAGGCATGCAAGATGGATACTTTTTTCAATTAAGTATATGAAAGGTAGAGTCAATCTTTCAACATGGAAAATACTGAAAAAGAAACAGCTTTAAGAGAAAAGAAAGTGTGCTAAATTTGAGTTTGAGCTTCACACTCAATTGAAAAACATATCCCTTCTGGGGTTGCAGCCAATATTACCCATGCATTATTTATTAATTTTATTCCAATACAAACTAGAGAATACTCTTTCCAAGCTCATTGTAAGCTTATACTTTTTCAGAAATAATAATTATTTAAGTTAAGTTATTGACTCTAAGACACTTATGAATGTGTAAATAAGTATATTCTAATGTGGAACCTTTCACATAAATCTTAGGGTTTCTCTCTCCTCAAATGACTGCTTAGTTTGTCTATTGTATAATACCTCCTTGTATCAAATACCAGGCATGTTTTTACATAGGTAGGGATGAATTAGGAACAACAATGACAAAGCCCAACTGAAGTGATTCAGATTCCAGCTCAATCACTGATTATTCTTGAAAACTAGGGAATGTTTCTTGAATCCTTAGGCTTCCTTTTCCTCATCTCTATAACTAGAAAATAATGCTAAAGACACCATAGGCTACTGTGGAAATCAAACATGTTAGAACTTGTAAAATATTAGATTAGAACAGTGCCTGTCGTATAGTGAGCACTCAGTAAGTGTGAGATCTTACTATCAGAACTGAATTCTTTATTTCCACTTTCTTTATATTTCCATTCTGCAGTATAGCAACACAGTGTTTTGTTCAGGAAGTATATTAGAAAATATCATTATGTGATGTCTTCAGCTTTTTGAGTGTATAATTAGTATGAAGTATAGTAAAACAGAAAAGCTCTAATACTTTTCATTTGGGATATCTGAGCGGATTGGACAAGAATGACTGAAGTTGAAGAAACACGTGGACTCCCCAAGCCAGCAATTGCCTCTTTTTCTTTTATACATGGAAGTAACTCCTAATCATCAGAAAATGATACCAGATGATCACTCTTAGGTATTCTCATTTTTTTACTTTTGTTCCTTAGCCCAGTGAGATGACTGTTTACCACTGTCTGGTAATGTTTGGAATTCCATACTCCCCAAAATAGCACTATTTTCAAATTGCTTTCAATATTTTAATACTTGTTTACTGTTTCTGTTCATCAGAAAGTGATTTAAATATCTAAAAATAAAGTAACATTCGACCAACACTATAGTCGTATTTATTGAGAAGAGCTAACAAGAAGCAAGCATCTTGTGACACATTAATAAACATGTGATTCTCCCTGAGGGGAATTTGCACACTCTCAAAACAAAGAGTGCATTCCACCATCATCAAACTTGTAGCATGACTGCTATATCTCTCTGCCTTCAGGGAAATAGTGTGGAATGGGGTAAATGGGGTAAGGAGAATGCTCCTACAGGACTTAGGGTAAAATCATTAGCACATATTTCAGTTGGCTTTTATTGTTTATAACAGATGGGCTGCAGTCTAGGCAAAAACTTATGACTGCTGATTTCAATGCTTATTAAAATGGCTAGTGAGACAGAACATGCATGTGTACAGAGAAAAGTTTTATTTATAACTGAGACTTGACAATCAATTACTGTTTCCCAAGAAGAAAATATTTATATGGACTTAAAAAATCTAGTTTTCTCTGACAAGGGTAACCCAGCAGCATATACAATGTATACAGAACATATTGTACAAATAATTCCCATACAGTTACTTCTTTCAATGGATTGATGAACCCAATGCCTAATGAAGACAATGATTTGTCCAGATCTATTATCTAGTTAGTGGCAGGAGTAGGATTAGAATTCACATCTTTTAACATCGAATTCATTGGTCTATTCTATATGCTACTGGAAAGAATTAGCAGTGGGTTAGCACACAAATATTTTTCATGTATATGTGTGTGTGTGTGTGTGT